CATCTACCTGGTCGAGGGGCGTCAAAATTGCGTCGTATGCTTGGAAGAAGTCTTCGGGCGGAATGTGCTGTACGAGAGTTTTTCCCAGACTTTTTGCCTTGAGAAGAGTCATATCAGTCCGGGATGCAGCAACTGTCTCATTTCGACAAGCCTTGGAACAAGCGAGGAACAAAAGCTACGTAAAGAGGTGAAGAGTATACTGAAAAACAGAACATGCCATGAGAGTTTAGAATTGGGAAATGTGACATCAAAGAACTGATTATGCTCACAAAGGGTTTTGCTGCGGTTGTAAGAGCGATATCGCCTGCTTTAGACATAATATGGAGGATCAAAATGCCATGCTCTGAAGATACCAGTCTAAGAGGCGAATATCGATGAGTCGAGGTAACCGCGCGATAGGTGGTAACTAAAGATATCAGAGCGGGGAAGAGGATGATCTTTGAAGTGGCAAAAAAGTTCCTTATATTCTTAGAAGGACTTTGCATCTTCGATCTCTCAGGGCTTGCCAGTGTCTCCCTTGATGGATCCGTCATTCTTTTTGTCATTTTTAGAGGCAACTAGTAAGTAACGGAGCTCGATATACAATAACAATAAGTTTAATAGACAGTACGGAAAGTTATTGAGACCTTTTTGAAGAAACTTGATAGCGGCTTAGCTCAGTTATAATGCGTTGTAGTTCCCCTTACAAATTGAACAATTGTTTGTCCATTATTTCTACAAACAAATTCCTTGTTTACATTTTCAATAAATGACATACAGGAGAACTAAACACATAAGGAATAGTAGGGGGTTCTAGAAGGCTTTTTGGTATATTCGAAAGATACGGAACAAATGTCTCCCATCTACGCTCCATTTAAATCTATAATGTGTAGCCGAAAAAGCCTCTTCGTATTCATCTATCGTTTTGAGCCTCACAAGTAGAGATTCGGCATTTTTATCATTTTATATGGCAAACTTGAAGACTGCCCTTAATTCATGCGCGTCGGTTTAAAGTCAGTACATTCCTGCGTTTTCCCATCTTCAGTCTCGTCAACATTTAATCATCATCCTGCGACACTTTTTGTTTCTTTTCATAACCCCAATAATTTTTTCAATGAACCTCCTACGAAAAATGAAGCCATGTTGTCTTCGGCATCTACCCAGAACCCATTATCATGTATCAGCACAATCAGTATCGATTGCGCCCCCCCCCCAACCACCTACAAAAGCCGTAACTTCTATATTCCCACCAGCAGGAGCAACTTGCGATACCAGTTCCCAGCAGGTCCTAGCCATCGCAGTAGGAGTTCAATTCACCCTCCTCCTTCCACCAGCATCCAGCTCCAGAGCTACCGTGACCATATCGTGCATGACCGGGACCCAAACGGTAATTGCGGTTCAGTGCTATAATCCTCTATCCTCATCGTCATATCCCGGTCCTTCCACTCGATCTTCGGGGACAGCGGGTCAGAAATCCCCGGGTTTCCTCGAGATTACAGATACTCGATCAGTCCCGGTACCCATATCTACTATATATAGGCGTAGACATCACCGCACCTCCATCAAATATCTATCCCCAATCAACAACTCTCCCTCCATCCCAACCCACGAGTAAACCCACAAAAGCTACGGTGACAGCGGCAGCGACACAATCATCATCATCAACTCGCATCTTTCCCGGTTCTCTGTGGACAGGCTGGGGGACCATATTTATTGTGTTTGGCAATTTCTGCAGCTGTTGCTCTTTAGTAAATAGTTAGTTACATGAGAGAGAAAAAACTACATACCCTACTAGATAGATCGTCAGAGATGAAGAAAGAGAAAAAAGCACGATCTAGATATGAAATTTGTATTTTAATTAATATTAGATGGGGAACTTTCATCCAAATTTGATTATCAAGCTTCTCAGTGCCAGTGCCCCCTAGATTCAAGACGATATTTGATAAGCATCATATCAAATAGATCAGCCGAAAATAACCAGGAGTGAGAATTTCATTTGGAATATGTATTGCCCGGCGCAAGATCCAGTGCTTTAAAGCGTTCGTGTCCGGATGATCCCCTCGACGGTTGCTGTCCCGTGGTTTTTCCCGTACCAACAGGAGTCCTCCTTATTTACTTCATGTGCCTGAACGCAATGGATGGGTTTCGGGGCAAGAGCAAAAAATGGAACGCTCAATTTTTACTACAATCGACAGTTAGAATTTGGTCTCTGGATTAATCAACATGTAAATCCGAATCCATAAATGATAATTATTAAATTTACATCATTTTATTACATTGTAAATGCGTGAATAGATCCACTAAGTTTGAAACACATTTGGGGATATACTAAATTACTAATAATAGTAGTATAGTAGTTTGAGGAGAAAAGGATTTATAGAAAAGGGGAGGGGCGCTTATCCCCCCTTCCCCTTTTTCCCCTGAAGCTGCCATACTGCTGCGTCTAGTATCTATACACAAAATACGTTTTAGGCACTATGGATCCTCTCACAACCTTATATGTTTTAATATTAACATGAGTCCCTTCAACCTTGATCCCAAACTCGTAGGCGAGTAAATCCTTCAGAAGCCAACCGAACAAAAACAGAGCTTGGCTTGTGAAAATTTTGAATATACTGTAGAAATTAGTTCTCAAAAGACATAAAGGAAGGAAGGAAGGAAGGAAGGAAAATTCTCATCATCATGCTTATCCGTGTCATGGGCTATGTCAAAGTATCCCGGAAAAGAAAGATTCTGGGCTCTAACTTTCTGCTTCGATATCATCTAGAAATAGAAGATAAGGTATTGTTATTGTTGTGTATCGAGCTAGTGTATGTAGAACTATTTTATATCAACATAAGGCAAGACAAAGTAAGGCAAAGCAAGGTAAGATTCAAGTTCCATCCAGACCCTCGCGATTAGATATATAGATTAATGTACGAAGTCATCAATCATAAATATACTTTCGAAATTGAACTTCTCCAACTCCGTTTCTGACTACCTGACTACTCTATATTCATTATGGGTATTATGAGATCAGATATAATCTACCACTTGAATATCCTCGCTTGTTGAATATCGTAATGGATGGAAGTGGAAGGAAGATGCAGTGCTACTTAAGTTTTTGATGGAAATCAATAATGATAATGAACCACCGGGTGCAACATCCTTTCCCCAAGCCATCCACCCACGCGAGCGTGACCAGGAAGGGAATCGGATCTCACCTATGGCGAGACTGCTTGTTTTTGTTCTTGTTTTTGTTCTTCCGCACAATGGATATGGGAGAATTTGAATGTGCCACCGTTCCGCATGGGATTCGTTCGTTCCTCTCTATTCGGTTCCTGGCCGTGCCAACTTCTCTATCTTTCCATCTGCATTGCATGTAAGGTACCTAGGTAGCTCCATCTTCACAACTATGCCCATGGCTTTCCTTTCCCATATTCATGATTTGAAGTACATTTCTTCATCTCGCGCCTCCTTGCACGATTTCAAATCATCTTATCTTATCTTCTTGGAATTGGGGAGAAGTTGGGATGTCTATCTATGGATTTATATATATATAGATTTATATATATAGGCATGTAGACAACCCCTTAGTATTTGATCAGGAACAAGAACGTCTCAGGGTCGATTGCGATTATTTTCTTCTACAATCCCAAAAACCTTGAAAGATGCCGAAAAATGTAACCTCCTTGGACCAACATTCATTCTTATAAGTCTTATAAGTCTTACTTACCACCCACGTCCGTTTTACCAACAGCGAACCATTATCCAACGTTGGGGGAAAAAAGGTAGTCCCTCACTCAGATATCAATCCAATACATCCTTCCCTTCCATTCATTATCCCCAACACCAACATATACCTGACCTAATCTGATACCCACAAACATATTTTACATCGCGGTATCATATATCGGATCATTAGAATCTGCACCTAGCACCTAGCATCTTCCTCATTCATTTGCCACATAAAAGAAATAAAATAATCCTTCGACGTATAGTAAATTATATATACAGACGAAGGAAGGAAGGAAAAACATCAGAATCAGATCTACTTTGTGCGGACGAGGAGGATGATATATTTCCCACTCAGCATCATGAACCTGTCCATTCTCCAAGAAACAAGCGAGGAAAACACAATCAATGATTAAATACCTATAAATAACAAAAAGTTATGGATCGAATCTCTGTCTTCTTGGTTCTCATGGAGCTGGCAATAATAATAATAATGATAATGATAATGATAATGATAATATCGTATCGGTCCGTATGTATGTGGTATTACACTGTAGTACAGACTATAAACCAAGAAAAAAACAATGGAGAATTTCATTTTCTACTTGATCATCCAGTCCAGTCCAGTCCAGTCCAGTCCAGTCCAGTCCAGTCCAGTCCAGTCCAGTCCAGTCCAGTCCAATCCAGTCCAATCCAATCCAATCCAGTCCAGTCCAGTCCAATCCAATCCAAATATCATAAATAGGCATAACTTGGAATACTTAATCCAAGTTTCTATCTATCCATCTATCCTATCCTATCTATCCATCTATCCTATCCTATTTATCTATCATCTACCAGGTAATAGATCATTAACTTAAGTCGACTAAAAAAGCATAGAATCGATAAACCCAATTCTAAAAATCAGTCGATTTCTATTCCTATTTATACTATCTAATACTAGGTATTGATACGTTACTCGGTGGAAGTGAGACTATTGATCAACAGTAGGTACCTATCTAGATATATCTAGATATAAAGTAAATAAAATGAGAATAATGCATCCAAGGAAATTCTAATTATTTTGTATACACATCCATCCATATGCCCATCACGCGGCCGATCCCACCATAAGCATGATCACGCGATCCCCATCCCCAATCACGTGCCACAAAACCAAAACAACCCAATCCCATTCCTTCCGAAGTTTTCCCCCAACTCCACAATATAAATCCAAACCCAACATCCACTCCAACAAATCATAACAAACCCTCCCATATCATGTCGCAGTGGTATGGGTGACCCATCCGAGTGCACTCGGATCGCACCTCTCGGTCGTCTAGTTGGTTTATGACGTCAGACTGTAATTGTAATTGGAATTGGAATCTGGATGTCGCGCGTTCGACTCGCGCCTGAGAGACTTTCTTTTTTTGTGTTTTTGTTTGTGGAAATTTTTTTTTTTTGGAAGGGAGGAGCGCTGGGTTTTCTTTTTGGGAGGGGGAGTGGAGAAAAAAAGAAGGTTTAATGTTTGATTGAAAGTTTAGAGGGATTTTGGTTTTGGTTTTGGTTTTGGTGGAGAGAAAGGTGGATACCGGTCGGTACTGGAGGGACTGTGGACCGTGGACTGTGGACAGTGGAGGTCAGTGGATAGTGGCGGGGACTTGGGATTGGAATCGGATATATGTAAAAGGTAGGTAGGTAAGGTAGGTGAATGTTGAACAATGGAATCTGGAGAATTGAGAGATGTACTATATATATATAATTTTGTGGTTCTGGGACGGGATTTATGGGATGGGGTGGGATAGGAGATATATATAGGTAGGTAGTTTTGGTATTATTGTAATTTGGAAGGGAGTTGGAGGAACTTGAGTTTTTGCAGGGAGGGGGGGAGGGAAGGAGGGGTAGGATAGGTAGGTAGGAGGCCGGAGGCGGGGGGGTATATATATTCGTAGGTAGATAGGTACAGTAAGTAGTCCAAAGGTTCCTCTTCTAACAGATGGATGTTGGATGGCGGAGGCAGATAAGAAAATGATGGGGCTGGGTCCTTCCCATTTTTTAAATATCCAAAGAATATTTCCATGCAGGGTTTGAAAGGGGTACGCATATGTATACGCATATGTATATGTATACGCATATCTATATATATACGCATATGTATATGTATACGCATATGTATATGTATACGCATATGTATATGTATACGCATATGTATATGTATACGCATGCATGTATGTATGTATGTATGTATGTATGTATGAAAAGCTCTCTACCCTTTCCTTACTCTCTATCTCACCCCATACCCTACCCCCTATCAGTAACCATCTCACCCCGCCTATCCCCCACCAATCCCCCACTCACCCACTCACGAGTCACTACTGCAACATCTTCACATCCTTTCCCCCCTTCCGAAACGGCCACTTCCACTCCCGAATAAAGAGAGGATCAATCCCATTTTCAAAAGCGTCGCTTCTCGCCTTAATCTGTTGATTCAACAATTTTTCCCTAACCCCCGCGGCCGTATTCCCCAATCTCTCCACTCGATCGATAGCATCCATGGCCAAACTATAACGATCGGTTTGATTTCGGATGGCCAACTCCAGCGGCGTATCGATATTGCCCTTTTCCTTGTAGCCGCGGACGTGAATGTTGGATTGGCCGGGGCGCTTGTAGGTGAGACGGTGGACGAGCCATGGGTAGGAGTGGAAATTGAAGATGATGGGTTTGTTGGACGTGAAGATGGAGATCCATTCGGCGTCGGTGATACCGTGGGGGTGATCACCGTGGTGGATTAATTTGAAGAGATCAACCACGTTGACGAAGCGGATTTTCAAGTCGGGGATGAGTTCGCGAAGGAGTGCGGTGGCGGCGAGAGATTCATGGGTGGGTACGTCTCCGCACGTGGCCATGATAAGATCGGGTTCGAGACCTTGGTCGTTGGAGGCCCAGTCCCAGATTCCAAGTCCTTTTTCGCAGTGTGCGAGTGCATCTTCCATGTTGAGGTATTGGAGGTGGTCTTGTTTGTCGGCGACGATGACGTTGACGTAGTTTGTGCTGCGGAGACAGTGGTCCATGCAAGAGAGAAGACAGTTTCCATCGGGTGGGAGATAGATGCGTACGACTTCAGGACTCTTGTTAGCGACAACGTCGAGGAATCCTGGATCTTGATGAGTGAAACCATTGTGGTCCTAGAATATCTCATAATCAGTAAATGTCTTTGTAGGAGTGTGTTTGGGGAAAATGAGGATTTCAAATTATGTGAGAGGTAAAAATGATACAAAACAAGATTGAGATCAGGGATTGTGACATGAAGAACAATCGTTGCTTACCTGTCTCCAGACAGTGGCTGTCAGGAGGATGTTGAGTGATGACATCTTTACACGCCATTCTACTTCGTTGCACTTCTCGATCCATTTGCAATGTTGATTGACCATAGAATCGATGACGTGAATGAACGGTTCGTAGCTGTTAAGTAATCCATGCCGACCCGATAAGATATATCCCTCCAACCAACCCTCAACAGTATGCTCACTAAGCATTTCCATAACACGACCTTCGGTAGAAAGATTTCCACCATCAGCATCCTCTTCAAAGTTTTCGCCCATCCAAACCTTTTTACCGGCCTTGTAAACTTCACCGAGTTTATTCGACTCAGTCTCATCGGGTCCAAAGAGACGGAAAGTATGCATGTTATTGGCAACTACATCGCGTAGAAGCTTAGCCATGTTAGACATACTGGGAAGATTGCTAACACCGGGTTCGATATTATTGAATGCGTATTTGCGGAAGTCTGGCATATCGAGAGGTTTTCTGAGAATACCACCATTACCTACAGGGTTGGCACTCATGCGAGCATTGCCAACAGGCGCCAATTCCTTTAGCTCAGGTAGTAACTTGCCCACCTTGTCAAAAACCTCTTCAGGTTTGTAACTGCGCATCCAAGACTCCAAAACTTTCAAATTTTCTGGATTACTTGCAACGTTGGGAAGTGGGATTTGATGTGCGCGCCAGAAGCCTTCAAGTAACTTGTCATCGACCTTTCTTGGACCTGTCCAACCTTTAGGACTTCGAAGAACAATCATGGGCCAACGTGGTCGAATTGCTTTGCCGGATTCACGTGCTTCCTTCTGGTATTTGCGGATCTCCATCACACAATGTTCCAAAGTTCCTGCCATGGCTTGATGCATACTCTCCAGATCACTTCCCTCCACAAAGTATGGAGTCCATCCGTAACCGATAAATAGAGCCTCCAATTCCTTATGACTGATTCGAGCAAGGATTGTAGGATTGTTGATCTTGTAACCGTTCAGATGCAAAACTGGTAGGACGGCACCATCTGTAATCGGATTGAGGAATTTAGTTGAATGCCATGACGTGGCCAAAGGTCCTGTTTCTGCCTCGCCATCACCAACCATTGTCAATGTGATTAAGTTGGGATTATCAAAGACAGTACCAAAGGCATGCGAGATGGAATAACCAAGCTCTCCTCCCTCATGAATACTACCCGGTGTTTCTGGAGTAGCATGACTACCAATTCCACCGGGAAAAGAGAACTGCTTGAAGAATTTTCGCATTCCTTCCTCATCCTCTGCCTTGTCAGGGTAAATTTCAGAGTAAGTACCTTCCAAGTAAGCATTGGAAAGTACAGCTGGAGCTCCATGACCTGGGCCAGATACAAATAATGCATCCAAGTCGTACTTCTTGATCAGCCGATTCATATGAAGATATGTGAAAGCCTGACCAGCATCGGAACCCCAATGTCCTAAAAGTCGAGCTTTGAGATGTTCTTTCTTGAGAGGCTCTTTAAGTAGGGCATTTTCTCGAAGATAAAGCATTCCGAGGCATAGATACATACAAGCACGGAAGTAGGCATCGTATTTCTTAACTTCTTCGGCCGAAAGTGGTTTTTTGTTGATTGTGGTGCGAGCAACTCCATATGGAGAAATACTCTCAACTTCAACTTCGGGAGCCATTTTGAATTCTCAAAGATATCGTATCTGATTAAACTCAATTGATTGAATGAGTATTGAGTGGTAAATGTTGTATCGAATAATATGAGTTGCCGTTGTTGTCCACCTCAACAAATTTGGGATTTGAAAAACTATCTTGAGGTGTTGTTGTGAAAGTATTGAAGAAGAAAATTGAAAGGAATTCGGGGAACTGTATGTCCTTTTATTCACTGCAACAATTGTTGTATGCATCAGGAATTGAAAGAGATGTTCATTCCAAGGACCAACCAGTTGTAGAGAGACTACCTTGCGGCAAATACGAGCTGGTAAAAAGTGGCCTGATTACAACTCACCTCACCTGTCACTTGTCACTTCTAGTTTATTACTTGTTTTATTTAAATGTTTTATTTAAATCAAGTATATTCACTCTTCACTCTTCACTCTCGCCCTTCACCCTGTACTATAGATCTCGATCTCATTACTCTAAGCAATAGGATCATAGCATAGAACCACAGCGTATCAATATCAAAAGATCAATAGTTGCATTGCATATGGGATGATATTAAAAAGGGGGGACTGGAGTTTATCTCCATCCACGGTCCTGGCCGCATCCCACACAATCAAGTCTCATTGCTCATTGCTCATTGCCCATTGCTTCAAACGCAAATCACATGCATAAGATATCTCCTGGTAGGTACAGTATGTATCTCCTTACACCTTACCTTACCTTACCTGTAGTAACACACGCCGAAGACCGACCTCCATACATCTTTCATACATCTCTCCATCCATCTCTCTCCGCCAAGGTTTTTCCCATATCAACATCATAAATTACATCCATCCATCCATCCATCCAATAATAAAACCCCAACCTACATTCTAACCTTCCAAGTCGAAAGTCGAAGGATTTTCCCGTTTGCGGATTCGTGCAGTAGTGTAGTGTAATCCAATCCAATAGCGGGGTCCACATCCACATCCACATCCACGTCTACGTCCACGTTCCTGTGCAACGCCACCCGAGAAAGAAAATGAGCTGATAATCGAAATGGATCATGACACCACCACCTCACTTCAAGGAGCAGCCATCCAGAATCCATGATAGCATGATAGCGGTCCAGAATCCAGAAGTGCCTACCTACCAAGAAGCAAGCAAGCACGCACCACCTGCATTAATGAACCGACGAATTTCTTTTAATAAATGTTTCTAAGTATCTAGGTAGGTATGATATAGTAGGTATGGTCTGATGATTTCATTTAAGGCTGAGAAGGAAGCTGAAAAAAACTTGTATATACCTGTAGGTACTAGATACCTACCTTGGTACCTACCTCCAGCTTACCTAGTATTTCCAAGGTTGGGATACCTACGATAGATAGCTGGAGTCCGGCGAGGTTTCCGTTTGCATATCAATCAATACCTATCAATACCTATCAACAAATGCGGGGTAGGTATCATCCGTTACATCACGTTTTATAC